GAGATACCCGCTTTCTTGAGTGGACACCTGTGCAAGCTGATATCAAGCAGTGCATGCAAAACACTGCAAGGTGCGTGGCTGGCCAATCCAAGATGATCTTAGCATCTCCTTTAAAGGATGTTCTTTTGCACATGGGCAACGGATACCTGAGTCGCTCCGGTGTATTTGTTCTCCACGTGGACACGGTCGACCTCGTCGAACCGATCCGACACAGTCGTCCGGGTTTGGGTTTCCGCACAGCCAAGGCCCAATCCAGCCATTGGTCGCGGCTCCTCGGTCGCCACAGCAAGCACCGCGAGCACGTGCGCGTGGGGTTCAGTTCGAGCTGAAGCAAGTGATGGTTTCAGTGGATTTTTGGGGGAGTTTTGCGCTATTGCTGATCGTAGACATTGACAGTGGTGCTTTCTGGGGAAGTTTACGGGCTGGCTGGTTCTATTTTAGAGGCTCAAGTCTCAAGTAGTTCCATGGCGTGCACCAGTTGTACTTTCAGAGGTGACCGCCCAAAGAACTCATGACTGCCCAGAAATGGTAACTTTCAACGTGCTGGAAGCTTGGAACATGTGGTAGAAAGAAGGTGTGGATCCGCTCTTCTAACATTCCTCCATCCGAACTCCAAAAAGCTCTGCAGAGTGGAGACTTTGGAACTCAAATGGGTGGAACAAGCAAGTGCAAATCTCATTCATTAGAAGGAAAAACATATGAAACATGTCATTGTTTTAACCCCGCACGGGGGTGGGTAGGCCGTAGAGGTAGTAGCTAGAGGTAGCTAGTAGAAGCAAGGGAGTCGCTAGTAGCTTAAGTAGCTACTACCGACAGGGCGCAGGATAGCTCATGCACTATTCATTTGGTTCCTAGATGTTTAGGGAAACTTCGCCTTATAACTTATGCCATGAGGATTCATGGTTTACCTTTCCACTAGGGTTCGTGTACAGCTTCAGGAGAATCCCGTGCTTCACCCGGGACCCGGCCGCAAGGTGCAGTAGCTTTTTGCCTTCAGTCGACCTTCGAAAGAGACCTGTCAAGAGACCTTCTAAGGTCTTCTTCAGATGTGAAGGCTAAGGTCTCAAGGACCTTGAGGATCAGAGGATGATGTTCCATCCTCTGAAGCGGAAACACACCTCTCTGGACCACCACCGGATGTGATGTGGGCGAACTGGTGTTCGGTTTGGTTGAAAAAACATGCTTCAACAGTGGCTTCGGTCCGTCACTGGGAGCCTTTACTCCTACGGTCCTCAAGCACTGAAAGTATTGAAAGGCAGCTAAGGTCCTCTTCCGTTCTCTTCAATCACCAGTTTGTCACATCACCTCTGGTGACAGGAATCACTAAAATTTGATGATTCAATTCCCCTCTGTGGGTGTGGATCACATGACTTGTTGCGTCGACCTGCTTGGTCTTTAAGGTCCTGCTGATGGTGGAATTTGATAGATCCACACCCTGGGAAGAATGGAAAGGCTGTCCGATTCAAATTCAAACAGCTTAAGGAAAGCATATGGAAGAGTTACAGAACATCTTTTGGATCTGTTCGGACATCAGCGAACATGGACACTGTGCGTTCCCCATCAGATCATCAGGCCCCCCAAATGGGCCTCTAGAGTGGCCTCTGGAGGCAGGCTGAAGTTCGCTCACCGCGAGCCTGCAGCTTCATAGTCCAATTGCCCGCAAGCGGCCCTCAAAGCGGAGATCCAAAGTTCGATGCTCCGACTGCCAAAGCTCCTAGCAAGCTCGAGCACCCAAGAGGTGAGGTCACACAGACTTAGTAACAAGGGCGTCGCTACTAGTAATTAACAAGGGCATTACTACTACTAGTAGTAGTAATGCCCTTGTTAATTGTCAGCCAACATTGTGATCACGATCAAATATCATCCAAATGTGAGCTCTATCCCTGGTGCTTTGGGACTCATGGGCCAAAAAAGAAACATTGGATTCCTTACATCGACACCAATTAAATCGAGTGGGACCCATCAACCCTCCAAGGAGTCTGCCGAGGAAGAGATTTCAACAACGCCAGGGCACTACACGTTCAGCAGTGGCAATGAGGATGCTCGGACCATCCAAGAGATGTGCCCCAAGGATGAAGCTACCTGCAAGGAAACCACTAGGACGATCACTGGGGCCGTCTCAGTGAAAGTGGGCAGCCTTCGGTAAAGCAGGGTATACGGATTCTGTATTGATTCTGTGACACTCTACTAGTGCCAAAGAGGATTCTCAAGGGGCCAAAACTGGTTTAAAGCTGCTCCCAGTGGAAACAACAATAAAATGCGGCAAGAAAAGAATATGTTCACAGTTTTTCTTCACCCTGCCTGTGCTGTGAAAAGCCACGCATTGCTTGGTGCTGGTGCACCAAACCTTCACCCCACCTGAGAAAAGTGTCTTTCGGATTGATGGACGGACCACTCTCCTTGAGCATGGATGCTGAGCCAAAACGAAACCCCCCAAGCTCCCCATTGGATGAAGACACTGCATTGCCAACACCCTCGCACCCTCAGAGTGCGTCGAGTGGCATAATATACATGACATGCTGTGACTCCTACCGACTCAGGCTCATCTATCTTTCCCAACCTCTCCCCTAGAAGCACTGAGGTGTTGGAATCAAAGACCTGAATGAAGCCTCTGGCGTGTATTCCCTTTAGTCTTGTGAGGGGCCATAGCCCCGGCATTCATCCAAGCCGCCCTATAGACCCTCCCAATAGCTTATTAACAGATCAAGCACAACCGATTCTTGTCTTGACATGGACATCATCTGCCAATCAAGTTGCTTGAGGTAAAATTGTTAAAGACTTCCTTAGTACAGCATCTTCCAGTGTGCATGTGTCTTTGCGCGCTGTTCTTATTTTTTCACAGGCACTACTGTAAACGAAAGGAATGGGTTCTTTGGATTAAAGTGCAACCTTTGCTGGTCACTCTCCAAAGGCTCGGTTTGGGAATCGCGTAGATTTCATGTTGAAGCAAAGCATGGACCACCATGATTCGTCAACCATTGGAATTCCTCGAAACCGAGACTGATTGGCCCAATCGTGGGACCCGTCGAAACGGTCTCCAAACTGCCAAACCCAGCCAAGCCAAAGCCACGTTGTGGATAGCACCCCAAGGTGAGACAGGCAAATCATATCAAATCATCATGCCACTTCAAGGAACACCACCACCGTGCGATTGCAAACCAATGACCCTTCAGTTTTTCTTTCACCGCTAACCACGGGGGGTATACGGACATCCGGAAAAAAGAAATGTTCTGGAGGAGTCGAAAAATCCAACCATCACCCTTGGAGATGAAAGGAACCCAACTAGCTTCTTGTTACTAGCAGTAAGAATGCTCCTAGTAGTACGGCAAGGAGCCCCTAGTAGCTTCTTGTTAGCCAATATTGGAGTTGAGGGCCTAACACGTTCACTTTCACCGCCTCATGATATAAGTGTCCAGCCATAGCAATCTTGGAGACCATCGTCTGGTTTACGTTCAAAACTAGATTTTGGCAGCGCAAACTGAGTTTCAACAGCTCAAGGGCCCAGGGTAAGTTCTTCCCCTCTTTGACCAGAAATGCATTGAACCTGCCTGGCTATCTTGGGTGGCCAAACAAAGACAACAGCGCATGTCCCACAGTATTTGTCGCAGCCGCTTGGAATATACAATGATATCAACTTATATATTGGTTGTTATCAGGTTGAGCACCCAAAGACAAGGTGATACTAACCCTGGTCCAAACATCTTCTGACCTAGGGACCGTTCTCAACATCAGTACCTAAATGAAGCCACCTCAACAAGTTGAGGTAAAGCCTATTGCCCTTAGTACTAGTATCTTCTAGCTACTAGTTAGTAGTAATGCCCTTGCTACTAGTAGCTTCTAGCTACTCCACCACCGTCGAGTCCATCTGTGTCGAGCGCCCTCCCTGACCGCCCAACGCCGCAAACGCCCCGTCCCGCCGTGGCGCACGGCCGCAGCCGAAGGCGACCAACAAGAGGCCGCTGTCCCTGCTGAACCTGGACACAGCAGCGAAACCATTCGCCAGGCCGGCCACCCCTGCCGGAGTGAAGTTGGGAAAAAGACTGGGACTAGAACAGAGTGGATAATGAATTCACCCTTTGCACCTTTGTTGCACACCGCACAGGCCCTAAGCTGAGGGTAGCCACTGCATATCCCCGACATTGCAAGAAACTGCAACGGCCCAAAACCCAGTTTGGAGGAATTCCAAAACCGTGAAAATACCGGTCTGGAGCATCTAAGCCTCTACGCCGGAACCCAAGCCCAGACGAGGAGCTGCATCGAAATGATGGATCCGGCCTTAAATGCCCGGAACCGGTTCCAACCCAAGATCAAAGTATGTTCTTTGAATCTTAGAAAGCATATGATTGAAAGACAAAAACTGCTGAATTCTTGATGGCGCAAGTCTTGCGACAAGGTTCACTGACTCAAACTCAGACGAAATTGGTGTACCAAAGTCTCAAAGGGGTCTCTAGCGAGGAAATTGGGCGAAGGAGGGCCTTGGAAATCTCCAATGAAATCTATTAATATTGGTGCATAACGGTGCTTGGTAAAAGGGAATGGATCCTGGTCCTGATCCTGATCAATTCCATGGTTGGGGCTCATGGCGTTCCCGACAAGTGGCACCAGCCAGAAATCTCTTACAAGTTCCATCCTTTTAGACTTTGTCGGTGACTCTCCAAGCTGCATGGTCATTGATGATGGCATCACAGCTGCCACTTTCCATAGACCAAACCTCGCACAACACACACAAACATAAAGGCCCTCGGACTCCGTCCACGGAGTCAGCTTCACCAGCTCCGTGCAGCGCCACAACAGCTTCACAGCTTGAGTGACATCGGTGACATCGGTGCAACATGGGATCCCTTTTTTTACACATATTTTCAGAAGAAAAAGAAGCTACTAGGGGCTCCTGGCATCGCTACTAGGAGCAAGGACGCTACTAGGGGCTCCTGGCCGTACTACTAGGAACAAGAAGCTACTAGCATACTTTTAGACTTTTAGATCCTGCAGGCACAAGGGTTGCCTCGCCCCACATGAGATCACCTCTCATGTAAAACTATCTGTCTCCAAAGAGAAGAAACACATTGCTCATCAATAGGCACCATGTCTTTGAATGTCTTTGATATCTGGGTGCCCATGATTTATTCCATCAGCCTGGGGTCGATCCGAACATGCTTTGCAGCTTCACCAATTCATTGTTCCAAAAGCTCCATTCACCAGCAAAGTCCAATCATGTTTTTCGCTTTCTCAGGGGACCTCCAGATTTCAATGCAACCTAATGAGTGTTTGCACCTCGCATAGATCCGATCGTTCACTTTCGCATACTTTCGCAGTCCGAACGTCGGCATCTGGACTTCCACAAAGCCTCCACGGACCAAGTCGCGCGTGCTGCCACCCCCGATGAGCTCGCCAGCCAACGCTCAGAGATTGCCACAGCCCTCACTGCGTCGTAATGGCCATGCCTGGGAAAATTAGTGCCTCTGCAAGGTGGAATGAGATAACTCCGAACCTTCCAAAAAGAAGGATTTGGTTGAACATGTTCGAAGATGTTCAAAGTATGGGACAAAACCTAGCCATATAGAAGGAAAGCTAGCAGATCTAGAAGATCTAGAAATGAAGCGAGTGAAGGTACATACCGTTACATACCTTCCAAAATGAAAGCCAAGCCGTCAAAGGACTTCAACACCCACTCGATCCGTAGAGAGCTGCTGGGTCACGATACCCCGATGCACGGCTTCTGCCAAGGAACAAAACCCAAAGACATGAGCCCTGCCGGTCCCAAACGCGCACCGTCTTGTCCAGGGAGCCCGAGCAAATCCGCTCACCTCAGCGGGTCTAACCGGAAAGCCGGTCGCAGAACATGCGACCAGTTCTTCTTGAAGTGGGGTCCTGTGCTTGTCGGCGCTTGTGAGAGGGTTCATGTGCGGCATGGCCGTTGGAGTCAATGATCTATGGGCGTTGAAAAAGAGGGGATTAAGCACAAGGTCAAGTGAAGCAGAGGTTCTTTACACAAGAAGATTCCAGACATATCCAGATCCTTCAAACATCTCTGGGTGCCCCAACCATTCTTGGAGCAAACAATCGAGAGGATCACGGCACTGTGCCCCTCCAAGGTGATGGGGTCTGCACGTTGCAAACTCCAAATCCTTGCACTCTTCGCGCCCACGCCGAAGAGTAAAACAACTGAAGTAAAATAACGTTAAAAATTGCAGACTATACCCCAAAGCTCGCCGCCAATGATAACATTTGGATTAACTTGGTTCACCACGGCAAAGACATGTCAAGTCGGTGTCGCTGCAGTTGATGTCGTGTCAGATCGGTGTGCGCCGGATCTGGGCGATGAACATCCGTTTGATCCGCAAGATCATGCGCATCCCTTAAGCAGCAAAGGACTCTACTAAGGGCTCCTGGCATCGCTATATACTAGGAACAAGAAGCTACTACAAGATCATGCGCATCCCTTAAGGTGGGTTGGTGGAGGCCATCGCTAGGACGGCGTTGAGGTGGAGGCCCGTCAGGACGGCAAGCGATCGGCCCGCAAAACCCTTTTGCACCACTTCCTCTGGCGATGGGCTGTCTTACACCAGACACCCGCATGAATGGCTTGGAAAGTACGAAGTAAAAATGTATATATTCTGAAACATCAAGTTTATCCAAAAGAGATTCTGAATCAAGATCAAAAGGTCTGCAAGTCAAGCCACAAACCAGGCCTTCAGCTCTCTGCGCATCCCCCTCCATGTCACCAAGCAGCCGCACGGTCTCATCCGAAACGCTTAGGAACTCCGACTCCTCACTCCCCGGCAGGAAGAAGGCCTCGTTCCGAGACGAACGCAGATCGGGTGGAAGATCGGAAGATCCGGATGAAGAGGTCGACTCGGTCGCATTCGGTCGCGTTACCGTTCGTTGAGAATGATGATTCTATACAGATAGTTCACACGTTCCGTCACGTCACGCACCCAAATTCAGGCAGTTGACATAGTCGCTGCTGGTCAGTGGCGCAAAACCCAAGGAGTTGACACAGAACTTCTGCGATTTCGACTTCACCAGCCCCGACCTGGAGCACGTAGCCATGGTCCAGGTGCCACAGGCGCTGCCCAGTGCTGGCCTCCCAAACCTCAATGCAACCCTCAAGAGGAAGCCGAAGCCGTGGGGTGAAAGGATAGAGGTCAGATATGGTCAGATGCCAAAGTCCTGACTTCTGCGACGAAAGTAAGGAATGAGGGTGGCTGGATCCAAAGGAGGTTCAGTCCCTCATTCCCTACTAAGCACCAGTCAGAATGAATACAGCTAATGTTTTTTCGGTGTGTCGGTGACCAGTGAACAGAGGGAGAAAAAGACAGAAAAAAGGTTCGAAAGGCTGTGCTTCAAATCTGCCAATGGAATCCAAACTCAACAGCCCCACATTCATTGGGTTTAGGGGCTTGTATTGCGGGGAGCTGGGAGTAGGCATTCTGCAAGGTGTGCGCTGTATTGGTAGGAAGCAGATGCATTTTCTTTGCACGAATGTCCCTTGGATCGAGGCGCATGTTCGAAAAGAGTCCTCTCTCGATCTCGTCTCTTCAACTTCCATATGAAACAAACCTCCACGCCTCCAATCCAGCTTAAGCAGGTCGTGTTTCAGGGGAGACTTCAAGTTTGGGACCTCCCCGTGACTTCCAAAAGGCTTCTCTGGTCATGTCAGGAACGACCGTCAAATCAGCAGGACCTTCTCTCCAAGCCTTGCATAGCCTCCACAAGTCTATCCAGCTGCATCCACTGTCTATCCAAGTAGCAGCAAAAGATCCCGGGTTCGGACGACCCAGCGGGTCAAAGGAGTGGAAACATGATAACAAAAACATAAAATCAGCCCACGAAACGAACGATTCGGCTGAGGCAGAAGTCGAGACTTCTCAACATCCCAGACCTTCCATGTGCCACAAACAAATCGACCTTCCCGGCAGCAGGGCACCAATGGAAATTTAGCAAAAGTATACATATATATATATATATATCTCCTGCAGATTCCTTTTCATTGAAATTCTTGGTAGTTCTCGTCTTTGATGGTTCTTTACATGTTTTCGTGTTGCTTTCGGGCTGGGTCGACTATCTCGACTAAAACGTCAATGTTTACTGCATTTTGCTGCGTTTGAGTGATCCTCACAGGAGGTCACGGTTGGGAAGCGAAGAAGCAATCATCCATCAAGAACAGTGCAAGAAAATAGATAGCATCAGGTCAACAAGCATGTTTTTAGATCCATCTCATGCAAAAGCAGCTGCAAGCCCAGCTCGCCCAGCCTTAGCCGGCGCCATGCACGGGTAGATGATGATCGTCTTTGGGTGGCACATTCCTCCCGAAGCCTAGACGCAAAAGGATTGTGCACACCAAAGTGGCATGCTAGCATCCAATAGTGGCTGGCCCTATCCAGCTGAGGAATGCCCTTTACGTTTCAACCACTTGGCTCGCCGACGTGACTTTAGCGGCTACTTGGTTGCGGCATACCATGACCAAAAGGATTTACACAAACACACATTGGACGAACGATCAACGCATGAAAAACATGTTAACTCAAGCTTCCTCGCTCCGGTTCCAAGGTTGAGCATTCCTGGGCTATCATCCTATATGCCGCAGGCCCGCCTCCGCCCAGGTGCCCCTCTTCATTCTTGAGACTTCGTGTGTGCATGACAATCTGCCCCATTTCGATTTTTAGACTGGCTCATCAGGGGTGAAGTTCGTTTAGAGTAGATCGGTTCTGATCTGCACGGATGGCAACTGACTTGGCTAGAGCTTGGGAGGGCTGTGAACCAGTGAGACGGACAGCCAGACAAATGGAATTGGCTACTAGGTTGCTTTACGAGTGAGAGCCATGCTTTTGCCTAGCTAGTCTGAATGGTTCCCAACTAGTTTCCCAACTCTTTTGCCTTTGCCTAGGGTCAAAGCACCTTCTAGCCAAGGTGCAAATCTCTGGAACCACAGTGACGCGAGAAGCCTTGGTTAACAACAAGGATGTCCTGGTACACGCTATCAACATTGTTGGATCACGTGTGTCAGTTGATGTCCTGTCTCTTCACATCAGAGCTCTTTACGATTTGATGAAATTGGAAGTGCCAAGTACCCAAACTGCATTATCATGTGCAATGCAGCTCTTTTCATCTGATGTGACTGTGCCTCCGCATGCCCCGGCCCAGGTGCGACCGTGGATGCCCAAGCATGGTATCTTCGAAGATGTCTCACAGAGTACAACACGATCGTTCGACGACCACACCTTCCTAGAGAGTTGGCGATCAGATCGCTAATGAGTGACACTGGGATTGTGTTGAGTCATTACGGCGTATCATCCGACTCCTTGGATCCCACAATCCATGACACTGAAGAAGGCGACGAGGCCATGGAATCCGAGGAAGAGAGAGAAGATGATCCCTGTTTCCTGGTTGATCCCATGTTTCAATTTTAAAATATTGTTGTGAAACATTAGACCAACAATTCGTCACCCCAATTCCCGTGCGCTTTACAATCGCCCAAGGTTTGGAGGAGTTCCATGAGATGCAGGAGCCTGTGGGTCCAGATCCGGTTTCCTGTCTTCCAAGGGAATGGTCGAGTCTAGTGAGGGACATAAAGAAATGCGCAATCCCTTTGGCCACTCAAGATGACAGGGATCCCTTTCCGTCTCATAGCCGTTTCATCCGAGGCTCCTGAAAACCCTGCGCTGCCTTCAATGCCTGCAGCTGAGCCAACAATGCCAGCAGCAGCTGAGCCAGGTTCTGATGCTCCGGCTGCGCCCGCAGCAGAGCCAACGCCTGCCAGCTCGGCAGGCGTGGTAAAGAATTGGAAATAATCGAACCGATGTTAATGTTGCACGCATCTTATATATGTGCATGACTGTATGTGTATGTGCGTTTGTTGCGTGTATCTCTTCACACGGCACTCCATGCTTCAGGTGATGGGGAGGTGGACGAAAGGCTGAAGAAGTTGCAAGAGCTTCAAGCCTTGTTAAAGAATTTGAACACTTTGAAGGAGATGCAAAAGTTGAAGCACGCAGCACACGACATGGCCATGCCATATGGTTTCTAAGTTGCATTTGTTTCTACTTCTCATTATTATGCATGCAAATTGCATGTACATGTGTGCGTGCGCTTGACGAAAGTGGCCCACTACTTGGGCCATGAGTCATAGTGACCGAGGTATGGACAATGCAGATACCCAGCTCCTTGAAGCCACCACTTCCAACGGCGACTGTCGAATGAGTTCGGAGGGAGCAGGCGCTGGATCCAAGCATTGGAAGAGAGAAAGCCATGATAGGACTTCATTCTCTTCTTCACACTCAACACTGCCTCATACAGACTACTTTGGCCCCATTTTCTTCTCTAAGACTTGGATTACTGAGTTGGAAGACTTGATGAAGGACAAGGATTGGCAGCTGTTTGAGGCACGTGGCAGTGGACGCAAGGTCTTTCAGTTCGAGCAATGGGGGCTGTCTGATATCCCGGTGGAGCAGGACTTTCCTTTGTACATCGTCCATCGAACATGTGAGGCTGGAGGTCCCAAAGCTACAAAGGAAGACAGCGTCGATGAGAAGAAAACTGCAGCAGTTGAGGCCACGGAAGAATTGAAAGTGAGTCCTGAAGACATCAAAGAAACTAAGGATGGGGGTGAGAAGGCAAGTAGCGCTGAAGAGACAAAAGAAGACGCACTTCCAGTCAAAAAGGTTGCGTACATTTCACCCGACGATCAGTGCCCTCCAAAGAAGCGGGGAAGAAAGCCAAAGCAACCTGACGGTGACGGTGAATCACAACCAAAGGCTAAGGCCAAACCGAAGAGCAAAGCCAAGGCAAAGGCCAAAGCCAAGGCTTTGGCCAAGAAGAAAAAGGCTGAGGAGGAAAGGGAAGAAGAAGAGGAGGATGAGGACGCGAATGAAAGCGAGAATGAAGGTGAAGATGAAGATGAAGATCACGATGATGAGAAGCAGAAAGAGGAGGAGGAAGAAGAAGAGGAAGAGGCGCCAGAGGAAGATGTGAGCAAAAAATGCAAGAAGGAGAGCAACCGCAAGGCCAAAGCTGCGGACAAGGAAGCAAAGAAGGATCCAAAGCACAAGAAAGGAAAGCATGAAGAATGAACCAAAAACCAAGGCCTGCAGGACAAGCAAGAGTGCGAAAGCCGAAGCTGATGTTGAGAAAGGGGGCTCCAAGCGCAAGTCTGCAGCGGATGGGGGGAAGTCCAAAAGGGCAAAAGCTTCAAGAGGCCAAGTGTGAGAAGAAAAATGAGGATGTGGAGGAGGCCGCAGACGTGGAGAGGAAGAAGCGGGTCAAAAGCAAAGACCAAGATCGCAAGCGTAAGGTGCCAGAAAAGCCTTCCAAGGAGGAAGAGGTGACAAAGGCTAAAGCAAGCAGAAAAGAAAAGGTTGTGGCTCCAAGCGCATCAAGCAAGCAAAAGAAGTCCAAGCCAGTTGCTGAGAAGAAGAAGAAGAAGACTGATGAGATTCCAGAGGAGAAAGAAACGGCCTCACCCAAGAAGATGAGCAAAAAGGATCGCGAGGCGCAAGCCAAGAAGGCCAAGCAAAGCAGGAAAAGCTCTGCCTACCACAAGGAGCGCGCACGGGTGCTCAAAGGTGGTGGTACTCAGGAGGAAGCAAAAGAAGCAGCAAGCAAGGCTTCTAAACTGAAATATGATCGATGAATCGATGCGTGCGCTTGTCTTTTTGTGATCTCGGTTCTTTTTGGCCTTAGGCTTACGCCTCTACGTCTTGAACTTGAACATCTTGATATCATCGATATCAATGATCTAGCGGTGTGGACGCTGGGAGCTGATGTGCGCAAATCTGATCTCAACACATACTGCAATTAGGGGTGCAACCTAAAGGGTTGCAAGTTACAAAGCCTTAGGGCATGAAGTTGCCATGGCTTGGGGTGCAATGTATGTGAGTAGTGGTAGACGCATCGCGACACCTAGCTAGCTCCCCACTGAGCAAAACAAGGCCCGCGCAAACCTACCTATGCACGAAGTAAAGGAGAACCGTTGAGAACCATTGCACAAGTGCAAAAACACACGCATGCATGTTTCTGAATATTCCTCTCCGCAGGTGATCAGTGGCCATGCCCAAATTTGAGAAGTTTGCTGCGAGGGCAGCCGCTTCAAGTCTA